ATAATTAACAATCTATTTGACAACAACTCGGACGAACAGACACAATGACGGACATGCGGAAATGTCATTTTAGAGATTTGTATGTGTAGCCTCATTTTACTTGTATAAATGAACATTTAACACAATAATATTGTGTTAAGGTCAGGGTGCATGATGGGAAATTTTCTGCATTCCTCAATTGAGTCACATGTTATTTTCAAACAAGAATAACTCCTTCCCCACATTGTCTACATCTTCCAGGTTTGCACAAAGAGTGCACTTATGTGCCTAGAAGAGAAGAATGTTTTGATAAAGTATATAAAAAGCAAGAAAATTCAGTGAAAAAAATCAGAAAATTTTCAAATTTTTTTAACTGAATTTTCTCGTTTTTATACATTTTACAAAACAAATCTTCTCACGTGGCTTTTCTAGGCACATAAGTGAACTCTTTGTGCAAACCTGGAAGATGTAGACAATGTGGGGAAGGAGTTATTCTTGTTTGAAAAATAACATGCGACTCAATTGAGGAATGCAGAAAATGCACCCAACACGCACCCTGGCCTTAAATCGCTTGATGTTATGTGTTTTATATCATTGTCAAGTATCAGTCGCATGTCATCGCGGAAAAATGGTTTCGATGGATCCAGAACTTGCTCAAAAACGGCCCCAAGAAAATTCCTATTATAGTCAAAACAGTAATGTTTGTGACTATTTTGAATTTAAAAAATAAGCAATCAAAGGACCATATTGAAACAGTTTATGTAAAAATAGAAACATTTATATATTATCCTAACTTTTGTATATTTCAGATAGTAATGTATAATGTGCAGCAAAGCTGTGGCCTTTTGTAATTTGGGGAGTTTCAGCCATGTTAATTTTTCCGAAAATAACATGGCAGAGAAGTATCAAAATATAAGAGGACACAGATATGATAGCTAAACTACAAAACAAACTAAAATATACAAAAGTTAGGATAAAGATAAATGTTTCTATTTTTACATACACTGTTTCAATTTGGTCATTTGATTGCTTATTTTTTAAATTCAAAGTACTCACAAACATTTAAAATTTTACTGTACCCCTTGGTAAAACCGCTCCCCCTGGTAAAAGCTGGCTATGTGTCTGCTTTAGTGCACCCTTTGTGAAAAAAATTGACAATGTTGGGAAAGAGGAGATCATATTTTAAACTAACATGTGACTATAATGCAGCATCAAAATTCCAATCGTAGGCTACAGACTTACCTCAAACTTGTACTATGAACTCGTGTGTTCTATTTGCGCTGTTCTTCAAGTCTTTGTTATCGTAAATGTCGGGTAGGCACAAAGGTTCTTGACTGAATAAGGTAAAGGAGTCGCTCGGCAATTTCTTTCCTTGAAGGAGACATTGCTCCTCCAAACGAGTGTCCAGCTTAAGTTTGTTATCAGGTAAAATAAATGTTTCTTGTAAACTAAAAATAAAACACTATGTTGACATCCATGTGGCAAAGCTTGGAACGAAGGAACGTGTCGCTCTAGCACGTATTCATTTGCAGCCAGACTCCAATTGTTGCTAAAATTAATTAGCTACATTATGATGAATTTTATCCAATAAGAGGCAAGGTAACTCGGAGCCTGGATGCAATTTGCGTACTTCGTGTATTCAACAAAAACAGCTCAGCATCTATGGATCCCGGGGGGTTCACTGTGTGTAAATTTTGACGGGGTACAATTGAAGGTACAATTAAATGCAATAAAAAGTAAGTGTGATATCAATATGTTCCCATTACAATCTGTCAAATTTCAATGTGTTCCCATACCAACCAAAATAACGCCCAAAAGCCATACCAAATGCCCAAATATAGGACCAATGCCATACCAAATGTCCAGATATAAAACCAATGACATACCAAATGTCTAAATATAGGACCAATGCCATACCAAATGTCCAAAGTAGAAAAAAGCTATTATTCAAACTGAAGAAGGAACTGGGAAGAAGGCAAACCTGGAAGGAGGAAAACGATCAAAAACAACCTCAAATTAAGGTGACTGTTAACTTAATCGATTTTCAGAAAAAATTGAAAATTTCACAATCTTGAAATTTTCAAACTCTTCCTGAGAAGTCGTTTTTATTATTTCACATATGCTTGTGCACTGTAATCATTACAAAGACATCAAAGAACAACAAAAAACTTTAGTTTGAGAAAAAAAGTGCCGTTTAAAGAATTTGAGAAGATTTTTTCTAGGAGTAGCCCGTGAAAACCGCTGATTCAAAATATCTGAACATTTCAGAAAATATACTTCAAACATATATCAAAAACGAAGAAGCAACGGAAATTTGAAAAATTACCCGATAAAAAAATTGGGATCAAAATAAGGAAAAAAGTACACTTCTCAAATAGTTTTTTCTATTTTTTTTATTTGTATGAGAGATTTCAAAATTCTAAAGCTCCTTCCATTTTGGGCAGGGATGTTTCAGAGAAAAAAAATGTTCAGGGACCTTTGCCGTGCTACTCTTTTTGTCAATTTTTCTGTCACATTTTCAGAGGACTCAAATTCCCATTCCAAAATGTTTACTGTTTCTATTTGCATTACCACAGTGAGCCTGGTTATATAAATGATAAGTGGAACTAAAAAATTGAGAGAAAATCCAACCAAAAGACAGTTAATTTTGATGGTCAGATTATACTCAAATGCCATGTGCTTCCTGGTTTCGGCCATCTTGGATTTTTTGATTAAGTTATAAGTTACCTTAAGAATATATGTAACCGGGATATGTAACTACTAGACCAATACCATACGGAACTGTGAAGTAACATATTTTCCACGACCATTCTCATACCAGAAATACCTCATTTGATATATTTGGGGGGCATTCTTATACCAGATCCTAAAATCTGGGTCCATTGCCATACCAAATGTCAAGAAAGGTACCCCATGTGCGCCAAGGATCCCCGTCAAGTTTTTTTTGCAGTGAACCCCCCCCCCTCCATATCGCCTGTTCTATTTACATGACGACTATTACTAAAATATATAGCTTATAAATACATTCAAATATCAAACGCACTAAAATCTAAATTTTGCAGAGTGAACTGAACATGAATAATAGATGGCATATGTATCACTGGTGATCCACTCGATTACGCTGGTTACCAAAACGAACCGTTTTGGTAACAAAATGTCGGAACGTCGAAGGTACGATTTTTCTTTTTTCCTTATATCACGCGTCGTAGGCGGAATCCCCACGACATTTTTTCTCACAAACGTATATCAGTACCATATGTTATAGAAAATGTACATGTTTGCGAAAAAATAGCTCAGAATACAATAGAATCGTCGATTTAATTACTCACTTAAGTTACATAAACGGTTTTTCGAAAAACGGTTAAGATCTGCACTTTTAACCCAAACCGTTTATGTAACTTAAGTGACGAATTAAATCGACGATTCTGTTGTCTTCTGAGCTATTCTTTCGCAAACATGTACATTTTCTATAACATATGATACTGATATACGTTTGTGAGAAAAAACGTCGTGGGGATTCTGCCTACAACGCGTGATATAAGGAAAAAAGAAAAATCGTACCTTCGACGTTCCGACATTTTGTTACCAAAACGGTTCGTTTTGGTAACCAGCGTAATCGAGTGGATCACCAGTGTGTATAGAAATCTCTTTAAAAACAAAATAAATATCATTCTTGCAGAAAATATGAATTCTAAACACGTCATATCGGGGTACCTTTTAAAAATTTCACAAAGCTGTAACATATCTGTATAAGGTGGACGAAATGTAAATGTACCTTGATAAGTTCGAAAGAAAATTGAAGATCACTGAAACTGTAGGATTTCTTCTCAAAGAGATAATTGGAACAACCAAAGATTTTTAACGTAATAGATATCTGAGGCCCGGGTATACAATATACATGTATACACCACGCATTACCAACTGAGTACACTAGGGGACTTTTTAAACATTTTTAACGTATTCCTGGGCCTCAGATATTTATATATTAGTGAACATACTAGTCTATGATATCCTTCAATCGAAGCATTGTATCAGCATTTTTTCAGAATTTTTTTTCACTGAATTTTCTCGTTTTTTATACATTTTACAAAAAATCTTCTCACCAGTCTTTTCTAGGCACATAAGTACACTCTTTGTGCAAAACTGGAAGATGTAGACAGTGGGGAAGGAGTGACTGCTGTTTGAAAAATAACATGCGACTCCAATTGAGGAATTCAGAAAAATGATTAACCTTCCTGTTATCTGAAAATCTGCTTGGAACTTTACCATTAGATTACTCTGGGAAATTCCTCAAAAAGAAAATTCTTGGGATTGAGGAAGGGGTACCATTTATAATTTGAGAACGTATTGGCAAACATGAAACCTATTTAAACAGCGTTAATATTATTCAAAAGCGACCGTAATAATGATTCTCAGCCCTCTGAAGTTTGAAAAATAACAATTCCTAGGTGTTTATCCATAGATAATCCTTGGAAATGAGAAATATTTTTTCGGATTATATGGTGCACTCTCATACTCAATAAAATGCTTTAAAGTGTATCGATGTTTTTTAGATGAAAAACACAAGCGAAATGCATGGAAAAGCTCCCCAGATTCATTCTACAAACAACTCGTGGTCCTTATTAAATTGATTGAGGTTGAGGCAATGGTATGTTTCGTTTCATTCCGAACATATGATACCAAGAACAAAAGGAGTGTCTGATGTCTTTTCTAAAACAAGAGAGAGAAAATTATATATATATGTATTGACGATTAAATTGACGATGTGTAAAATTTTCAGAATGTTTTGATGACTGGTTTAAGAGAAACGCGTTCAAAATGTTCACTTTTAAGCAAAACAAGAACATGGTTGCCACGATCAACCAGGGTGCGGTGATTTTAACCTGGACCAGGATCACATTTCTACACAAAGTACCTCAAGTAACTTTGAGTGCATCACTACTAAAAGAAAGCATTGTTCTAATTAGTCTTAAATCGACATCCAAGATATACTTAAATGCAATAAACAGAACCAAAAAACGTGTTTTTTATATTTCAATTACAATTTATTGTATCAAACTTTATATCTGTTAAGAACCATAGCTGTATAATACACAAGACAAAATGAACCAAATAAAACTCGATACGACATACATAATATTGTAGAGTTGGCAAGGCAACCCATAAAAACAACAAAACATTAAAGGCGCTTGTACAGAATACATAAAATGACTTAAAAACAACTCATAAATCAAGGAAGACCAACACGACCCTTTAACTTGTTCAAAAATGAACTAGACTTTTAAATAGTTTCTCAATGTTGAACTTTTTTGTTTGTTTTTGCTTTAAAGCGCCATCTTTCATTTAAATCTAGCCCAAGATATGTCCAAACAGAAAGAAAGCTTTGGATAAGAAGAGGTAATATTCCTCTTATTAATCCTAGCTCCCTTACTCTTAACTAGTTCACACAATTTAATGATGTAATGGAATTAAACACAATAAATTATGGTGGTTTACTTTTTATGGTCTGGAGTCAATACACAGGGTGTCACAATAGCTAGTGTCAAAATGTATTTTTAAAAATGATTTACAACTCATGTCATTAACTCAAATTAGTAACAGAAATTGTAAATCAACAACACTTAGAAATAGCACTTAGTACTAGTGTATATTTTTTATTTATAGGGAGAGGGTTCGAAATAATTTGTTTGAACATATCAAAGGCCAATTTAAACTGAACCAATCTTCATTGATGAGTGTGGCTTTAATATCTCCAGTTTTAGGAAATACTGATTATTAATATTATACCGTATAAAAACAATGAACTTGGCAATAGATTTTACTTGAAGCTAACATCACATACATGATGCAGTACATGTTTTTGTAGGACTACAAATTAATACATTTTCAACATGTTGCTCCTAAATATACTCACGTTTGCATTAAGCTAAATAAAAAACATTAACACTCCAGTTGTAGTAAATATATATACTACAGTCATCATTTTAATAATTTACATTTGTACACTGTATTATATTTAAAAATAAGTTAAGGTCATCTGGTTAATACAGGGTGTTCCATAGGTGTCTATCCATATAAATATATGGGTCACCCTGTATTATACATATACATGTACGAATATGCTTTCATATTTCAATTTTTTCCATTTTGGGTTAGTTACAATGCTATTTGCATTAGTTACTACACTGTTGCTATGGTAACTGATTATATAGATAAGTCATTTAACCAATCTATTGGCAGATATTTTGGGTTAAACCGTTCATACTAATTCTTTAAATAAAACAAAATTGCACAACTCTAACTTTTGTCAAATCTACTTTGACACCTGGTGCTTTTAAAAATATAAAGTTATCATAATAAAAAAAGCAATTTGCATTTTTAGCACCTCAATGTATAAATTAGTATAAAAGTACATGTAATTACAAAGCAGAACTACAAAGCAAACCACAAAGTTTTTTGTTGTTTAGTATTTGGGGCATGGCTGTGCCTTTAAAAACAAATCATAATTTAGTATCCTTTTGGCTAATTCCAGTATTCACCTTTCATACCCCTTTATACATCAATTTTTCTAGTATTTTTTCCCCTCATTAATGACATTAATAATTTAAGTGTGCAGATGTTAATAAAAGTTAGATAATATTTTATCACTAAATTAAATCCAACTAGTCAAAAGTCATAACACCGGCTCATTAATTGTACATTTCTAATTGTTAATTGTACATTTCTATTCTTAAATAACTGAACGATGTTTTCACAGATTGCATTTGTCAACTAATATTGCATTGTTAAAAGGCTACATATCTCTAAGAATATGGTTTACATATGTGTATTACATTAATACATAGGCTATGTGTATTTACAGTAGATCTTTTTACAATAGGTCTTATATTTACAAATGTACAAACATAATACTAATGTAGGTCACCAAGCTATTTACAAAACTTCAAAATCAACCTTCAAACTTTTAAGGCCACTCTTTTTCACATTTTTACACGTGTTTATTTCAATATATAGTAAACATAATATCAGAAATGATTTACAAGCTGACATTATTAGTCAATTATTTTTACATGTAATGATGGTTGATCATATCAGAAATTGGTTGCAGCCAATCACCTGTGTCATTAGTGGTTGCACATAGTTACAAATGCTATCTTGACAACGATGGTTGCATGCAAATTGTTATCTTAACTTCTGTTCATCACATATTTTTATGCTTTTCAAAATAGATGAACCAACACACATGTGTTAAAACTATATGCGCTGCTATTTCAAATAGCTGACTTCACATTTGGCGCTGTATGTTCATAGTGCATGTATATTCGTAGTGCATACAGCTTGTGTCGTTATTTCAAACTGTTGACTCCACATTTGTTGTCATATGCCCATTACGTGTGAAGGTTGTTATTTCAAACAGTTGACTCCACATTTGTAGTCATACGCCCATTACGTGTGAAGGTTGCTATTTCAAACAGTTGACTCCACATTTGTAGTCATACGCCCATTACGCGTGAAGGTTGTTATTTCAAATAGTAGACTCTACACTTGATGATGTATTTTCATCACGGGTGTTACTACTGGTCACGCTGCTATGAGAGTCTAAACTAACATTGTCACTGTCTGCACTCTGTGGACTTGAATAACTAGCAGCCTCCTGTAACTTCATCAGCATACTCAACTGTAAAATGAAACAATACAAAAATCAATTGTGATGTCATGATATCACCATGGAGATTTATCCCTTGAGAAAATCAGAGACACTGTCATCAAGGTTCAACGGTGTGATGTGATTTCTTTAGTCATACAACGAATGACAGACTTACCAGAAATTGACTATTCAATAACAAAGCATTTTATCATATTTTAACATTTCATTTAACAGATAACTCTTTAAATACTTTCACTTCTTTTATAATCACTAAACTAAAAATACCTCATACTTTCAAACTATATAAACAATTATGTAGTTTTCAAGAGGATCTTTTATCTAAAATTGTATATGTACCAAGGGGTCTTCAGCCTCTGTCTGAGGTTCAGCTTTCTTTGGATTAGTGCCAGAAACAGCAACTGCTGGATTCTCGTATCCAACATCCTCCGGTCGCAATCTCAACAAGTTCGGGAATTCCGGATCAGTATTGACGTTAGTCCATGGATACGATCCAATCACCCACTCAGCAGGATCTTCCCAAGGTGCACGGCGGCCATAAAGTTGTATGCCTTCCCGCACTGCCTCCAGGAGGTAGGGGGTTATAGAGTAGTTCCAAAGGTCTGTGAACCAGACTTGAGAGCCAGCCATGTCCATTGGGCAGGATAGGAAGAGTCTGGGTCCTGTAATAATAACACACACAAAATTCTATTACAGTTACAGTGTATTTGTTTTTCCCACCTGCACGGGGGCCCAAAAGTCAAGAAATTTTTGCTCTAACTTTCTTGAAAATTCTGCAATTCAGCTAAAATAATAATAAATAATAATCCAATAACTTGATTAATAATTGATTTTTCCTCATTGCAAAATATTTCCATATTTACTTTCTCAAACTGTATTTCATTTACTTGAGATCTTCAAAATATGTGTTTATTATTGATTTCTATCGGAGGAATTCGTACAGGTCTTAAATGACATAATAACCTCATAGTACACAGTAAAACCTGAGAAGGGGAATTCCTCTGCAAGTGAAACACCTCCCAGGTGGGACACTAAATTGAAATACCAAGGTGTTCCACTTAAAGGTTTTCCAATTTATTTTACTTGATGTATTTCATATTTAGCTATTTGCAAGATCATTAATCCTAATCACTTACCAATTGTGACGTCAGAGGAGCTGTGAGTCTCCAAGAACTTGTTCAAATGCTGCCACACTTTAGGCATCCAATCAACCACCTTGCTCAGATCTGGGTTCCTGGAGCCTGTCTTCACCTCAGATTCACACAGCTTACGACGGAGGTATCTTCCCAGGAATCCCTTGACAGGTTCCATGTGATTGGCACAGAGGACCCACCTGAAGTTGTGGTGTAGTTGGAGGTTGGTAGTGGAGCACGTAGCTTGGTTCATGGTTCCTATGATATAAGGGCTGAAAAGGAAAATATGTATTTTATCATTTATTTGAATCTCACGCTTGTAATTAAAATAACTCATAAAAATATTGCAGATGGACACAAAGTGCTTACTTGGCATTCGTTCAATATGCAAACGGAAAACTTCACTCAATGTATATATAAGGGAACGCATCAATAAATTGAGTTGTAATTAAGAAATGGGCATTTACATGAGGGGGGGGGGCGAAGTATTTGTTATTTACTAATAACAACTCAATAAATGTAAAATCTATCTTTTATCACTTACCACTTAAGGTATTTACAGTTGAGGAAGCCATTGAAAACCTCCCCGAGTGAGGACACATGGTGTAAATTGTCGAGTATTATGACGCTAGGGAGGTCCTTAGAGTCTGGTGTCTCGCACTGCTCTGCTATGTTCTGGAGGTATTGGCGGAGTTCTTTACTAGATTTGTGGTCCACGTTGAAAGTTGCGATTGCTCCTGCTGTATTCTCCGTGTTGGACCTGGGGATATGTGTAGAAATAGTTTTAAAGATTGACCAATACTGGTAGACAGTTTTATTGTATATATGTATTATCAAACAAGGAATTATATCACATCATGCATATTTCCAAAAATCAGAGATGTAACTCGACATGAAGATCTAAATTATGTTATATAACATTATTTTTCAAACAAACAATAGTTATTTAAACATAATGACATTGTTTTTAATATACAGTGAAATACACTTTATATTCCTTTTTGATTCTTCCAAAACTATTTTCAATAATAATAATTTCTTGTATTTAGAGTTTTGCCCTTGGTTCAAATTCTTTTAAACCACATTTCATTTTATACAAAATCTTTTCCAAATTATCACCCACCTTTGCAACAAATGCTCAGCTAATTTCTGGGCCAAATATGTCTTTCCCGTCCCACTGGGGCCACAGAGAATGATCCTCCTGTGTTCCATGAGTAGGGACACGTAACGTTGGAGAATAGACTTGGGGATGAGAGATTCGAATGCTAAGCAGTCAATGCTATTATGTGGTGCTCCTGTAAATATAAAATATATTTGCTTATAATTCACAGTTATGTTTCAAATTGTGAAGAGATTTAGAGTGACTTAAATTTCAATTTTAGAATCAAAAAATTTCTTTAATTCTTCAAGACACTTAACAACACAATAAATGTCACTTATAAATATACAAAACAAGTCCAAATATCCAAATCTTCTATTTTTTCAAATTCTCAATTGGCTGCACATGAAATTACAACTCAGAACAATGTAATTTTCAAATTCTCAACTACAGACTGATTACAGCTACAGGTAGCTCTAATGCAGGACAGATCCCTTGGTTATAAGCTACATGTATATCTAAACTTACCCCTAAGGCTGAGTTTTATCTGCATGTTGTCCCCCACGAGGTACCCACAGGGTAGAAACTCTGGCTGTGGGGAATCTAAAACAGAAAATTAATTCCTTTATCAAACAATTCAGCAAAAGTTTTATCCTGAAACAACAGAGAAACAAATAAACCAGCAACTGTTTTATCCTGAGAATTTTGCTGGGAATCATCAATAACAAAAGAATCTTTGAAAGTTCTTAGATTGTGAACTTTTTTAGATTGTGAAGTTGTACATTTTACATAAAATAACTTCCTTCAGAATGCTATAAATGCAATAATATAGACATGCACGAATTGTAACAAACAACATATTTTTTCATATTTAAAGTAGAGTAACTTGGAAAGTTTTCATTCTGACATAAAATGCATCATTGAAAAAAGACATTTAACTCAATCCATCTTAATGGTGTAAATATATCACATCTTGCCATCTCAAATACCAACCTTTTTGTCGAATCACATCTCCGATATGATAACACATAATACTGTCTCCACTAAGTCCTAGATTTGTTGTTGGATCTAATCGTAAAACATATTCCTTAAATACTCGTTTCACTATTGTGTCTAACATGTCCCATTTTATTTTTCCGCTCACTGACATTGAGCCAATCATGGCTTCTAGAACATTTGATTTTGCGAGCGCTGACTGGTCTTCATTTGCGCCTAAGAATACGGATATTGTGACGCGTCGTCCTTCTCTTTCGTCGTCACTATGCAGTAATAAATCTGAAATTATGGGATATAAATCTTTTCTAAATTTGTCCCATTTCTCAAAATGTGCTTTAAAAAGATCAACATTGCATTATTTTTAATTAAGTTACTATTGCACAAGGGAAAAAAATAAACTTGGGATTTTATTCCGATGCATTGTATGACTATTTAATAGTTTCAAGACTTTTGAAACAAATATTCAAGTAATTTGTAACATTAACTTCAAGATTAACATTTACCATGTTTTTATTAATAATTGCCATGACAACCAAATGGGGTATCCAATGCAACAATTGCACATAAAAAGACCTGATAATTCAAAAACGCTCACCTAGGTTACTATGTGTTGAGCCTAGACTAAGCCTCTTATCTAGAGATTCTGTACTTTTTAATATTGACATGGAAGTTGATAAAGCATCGGGGCTCTTAGCTTTTCCGGTGATCATGGTCTGCAACCGATCATTATCATTTTTTAACTGCGACATCTCATTCTGAAATGCAAAAATTGTAAAATGTATTAAGTGATTCATTTTTATAAATAAATGTAAAGCCTAGCATTTAAAGAGTGGGTTACACTTGTTTAACCTCAAGTCCTATTAAAGCACTGTGACCTGGTCAAATAATCCCACGATCACAATCAGAGCCCATGAGAGCAAGTTACATTTGTCGTTATTTGTTTTTCATTTGTTCAGACAAGTCTGAAATAAAACATTTTTAAAGAGGTTTTATCGAGAGTAAGGTAGCTTTCAAATAAGATTTAATGACAGCAAAGGACTACTTTTTATATCACCCACTCCCCAATTAAAAAACTACTGCACTCATTCAAAGGTATTTTAAATCACATTGTGACAAAAGTCAATGATATCTTGATATCTTGAAATGTCATTGTGACTTCCAAATCATATTTGATAATCAACCAATTTTGTTTGACTTCTCAATTTCTTAAAAATGTATAAATTAGTTTCTGTATTCAAGAAGTTCTTCTCATACAAATAGACCATCAGCGCAGATAGGAAATATTAATATTCATGCATTTCAAAAAGTAATCAAATTTTGACAGATTCACACATGTCAACACCCAGAAATGTGACAACGTCTGAAATTAAGTTACGCATGTGTTGATATATATTACCTCATGCCACCATGTGTGGCATAGCTGCGACCCCCCCTGGGGTGATCTCATTCTATCACCCTGGGTGAACACATTTATAATACAACATGAAAGTGATGCGAAAATTATGCGTCTGGGAGGTGACAATGTTTTGATGAGTCATTTTTCTCTTTTTGTACTTGAAAATTATATATGTGAGGTAGAGATATGATTCATAGGGTCATTTTTTATATTTTTCATTTTGCCGAAAAAGGGTTAAAAAATTCAAATTCAGACATTCAGATTCATAAGTATCTAAATCACGGGGTACCATCGAATAATTTTGGGAACGTACCGGAGAACGACATTTTACTAAGAAATGGCAATAATTTAGCACAATATATTTTTTAACTAGAGTTCTATTTTGATTTTGACAAAAGTAAGTATTCCATGCAATAACTATTTCATTCATGAGTTTGTAGGAATTCTGTTGGAACCCAGTTCTGATCAAGTACGAAGTTATTGAAATCGGCGCAGACGGACTTTACTCCGAAAAATGGTTTTTCGATTATAACTTTTCACAACATTTAAGTATAGACTTTTGAAAAAAGTACAGAATAGTCCTTATACTTTTGAATAATTCTGTTATTTCTGATTCACACGACTCTGATTTGTTTAATTAAAAAAAAAGTTTTAAAAATATTACTTAGGAACGTAACCGGAGCTGGGAACGTAACCGGAGCAGATCAGTTGAATTATATATATGTTTTGCCATGCATTGATTTTCCTGTAAGTGAAGGGTAATAAATGCTCATTTTAACATTCATATGTGTTTGTAAATAAAATATATGCTTTAAATCATATATTTTATTTTTTTAAATTATATAATTCAACTGATCTGCTCCGGTTACGTTCCCAGCTCCAGTTACGTTCCTAAGTAATATTTTTAAAACTTTTTTTTAAATTAAAGAAATCAGAGTCGTGTGAATCAGAAATAACAGAATTATTCAATAGTATAAGGACTATTCTGTACTTTTTTCAAAAGTCTATACTTAAATGTTGTAAAAAGTTATAATCGAAAAACCATCTTTCGGAGTAAAGTCCGACTGCGCCGATTTCAATAACTTAGTACTTGATCAGAACTGGGTTCCAACAGAATTCCTGGAAACTCATGAATGAAATAGCCATTGCATGGAATACTTACATTTGTCAAAATCAAAGTAGAACTCTAGTTAAAAAATATATTGTGCTAAATTATTGCCATTTCTTAGTAAAATGTCGTTCTCCGGTACGTTCCCAAAATTATTCGATGGTACCCTGTGTAAATGAGGTAGCAAATGTTAACTGAGACATAGAAAGCAACATTTCAGAAATTGTCACAATTTATGAATTTTTGTCTCATAACATTGATGAATCCAAATCTCCCTGCATCTCAAGTCATGAATGACCTTCAAATGTAAATGGAAGTATGGGTAATATTTTTGTGATGCTATACAAAATTCACAATGGCTATTTCTCTGGTGGAATTTTTCATACAACTGATTTTATTTTAAACTAGAAAAAAACATACAGGACATTAAACATGACAAAATGTCACCACCTGAAAAGTGTAACAATTGTTACAAATGCTCACTTCAAATGCCAGTCATTGTGACTCTAACAATAACAATATGTCACTATTTCTTGGTAGATAAAAGAGAAACCACCATATGTTAAATGTATTATACTTACTTTCATACGCGTCATGGTATCTCTTAATTGTTCAAGTTGACTAGCTGAGGACAATGCTTCCAGCCTCACATCTGTAAGTTTCATATCTTTTTCCCGGAGTTGCATTTGCAGTTGAATCACTGATTCAGTGTCCGATTCATGGTCACCAAACCTGTAATGAGATATCAGAGTTATTCACTGGGAGGTATAAGATATGTATTTATCCTTCAATTTTCTCTTTATAGTATGAGATCAGATGAAGATGTTCAATATTTAAACTCTACTTTTAGACTATCTCTATTTTACAAAATTAACCTTGATTTAAAGCAAGAGTAATAATATAATAAGAATAATATTCAAGCACTTACGCATGTGAGGATGTAGACATTTTTATTGGTCCAAGGGGTCCCATTCCAGGTGGCACTGCACCATGTAACATGGGAGAATTTGGCACTGAGTGGTCCGAGCGTAAACTATGGTCAGAACGGACTGAAGCTGTGTCTGGTTCGACATCGGACATTGATCCATTTTTGTTTTTCTTCTTCTTTGATGTAAATGCTTTACTGAATGAGCTCCTCAGCTGAAAAAATAATGAAAAATTAAATTAAGGATAATTTCATAGAATGAATCGTGAAACCAAATTTTCACATTAAACTCAATTTGTGCGATAATCTTAAATCTCTTTCTGAGTTTAAGTCAATAAAGTTTTTCAACGAAATACACATTTCTTATTATATTGAACAGTCACAAAAAGTTATTGATTACTTTTTTTGCTTTGATATACAATTTCCATTTTTCACTTGTCTCAATAGAGTATAGGAATTTAGGTGAAGTATCCATTTAGTTCTCAAAGTTTTTAATTAAAAAGTTTTAATTAAAAACATCAAACACATGCGACTCAATTAAATAAATTAATTTTAGTTTTTGTATAATACATACGAAAAACATGTCATGGATACGATGTGCTACACATTAAATTTCATTAAATGAAACGGAAATGAACTGATTTAAAAATGCACGCAGGAAATAAATAAATGAAAAATGTTCAAAATTCTTACCCATCCTTTTTTGTGCTTTTTCTTGCCGTTTTCCGTGTCCGTGGCGGAACTTTGTTGACTCGCACCACTACACGCACTTGACATACTATTGATGCTTGACATACTGTCGTTGGATAGATGGCGTGTCATCTTTGGCGTGTCAGTCAGGCCTATAACCAGAAAACAATACTGTTAATCTAATGTCAAAAAGCACAAAGGGCAAAATCACAATTCACAAATAAACTGCTTACATAAATACTAGAGGGAAAGAAACAGAAACATGAAAATGAAACTAGGCAAACATTACATTTAAACTAAAAGTTAAAACACAAGACAAATCTACCTCCTGCTATATTGCTAATAAATGCCCTGCCTTATATCTTACACTCCTGCCCTACTCCCCTGCTTTATAGTCTACACCCCTGCATTAAACTCCTACCTTATACCCAGCTAGCTCAATTCATTCCTGATATTGCATTTCTAACCGCAGACTTCGAACATATATTACTGAGACAAACAAATTTGGGTAGTAGGCGAAAATTTATCTTTAACTCTATTCACATTGCTTTACGTATCACATAACCACAAGGGAAATTCCTTACAGATTTTGAGAAAAAAATTCTGTTATTTTTTTATGAGTGACTCATCAGTTAAAAATAGAACTCCCTCGAATATAATCAAAGTGGGCATTATTCAAAATATGGGAAAGGATGAAAAATATGCAAAAAACATGGAAAAAACTATTTAATTCACTAATTTTCTAAACTCAAAGTTATATAGAAATACATTAAAAATTAGCATTCATCAAAATTGACAGAAATAATGTAAAATAACCTTGACCAGTTCAGATGTATAACATACAACATAAACAGACAGACCAAATTGGCTGATATCATTACATTGTTTATAAACTCTTCTTATCTTGATTTATAACAGGGTAAATCTAAAATAGAATGAGCGTTTACAAAACCAATTAATACACTCAGTTATCTTTGAGAAATTCCTGTGATTTTCATGTGATATTAAATACCTTGACAATACCATTGCTGCATCGACGCACTATAAAAACTATATGGACAACAATAATTAACATTCAATTAAAAATATTTTTTGAAAATTTTGTTGAATATGTGACCAACAATATCAAAATTGTTTATCTATCGAAGGTTTTATTTCACATTACACGCCAACCAGCTACTGAGTAATTCACATTTGCTGTAGCACTGCAACTATTTCATTGCCAAGTACATTTCAGTAGAGTTTAGGACGAGCCTTTAACATCTTGGAACAGAATAAGATTTTAACATGTTGGAAAATATAACTTTTAACATGTTGGAAAACTAATTTATTTTTATGATTTCAGTTTTGATGATTTTAAAAGCTTATTTACTGGAGCAAAAGGGTGTCACCTTTGAGATGAAATGAAAGAAATCATCACCATAAACCAGGACAAAAAGTCACAAAATAATGAATAACTTTGTGAATAATATTTCAATAAAATTGGATATAAATAAGAATCTTGTCATATTACAGTGTATTAAAGCAAGATGCATGTTGGACTTGTCTAACAAACTGAACAGATTTAAATTTTAAAACGTATCACCTAAATCAAAATTTAAGAACCTGAACTCTATCTTTTGAATCTGTCTATGTTCTTTATGGTACTAGAATGATCATACCCCAAGATTGCATGATTAGAAAATTCAAATACAAATAAAAATTCCTGTTTTAAGTAATAGAGGATCATATTTCTTAGCACTCTTTATTCGACTTTTATTTTAAGTTTATCTATTATATATATACAAAACTAAATATATAGTTAACGTTTCCTTCTTTTTTGTGTCCTAATATCTATTGATTCTGGTACAAAAAGCAAGGCCATGTGATTATAAGGTACATTTGCTATATTTCTTTTTTTAACTTGAACCCAAATGTGGTTAGTCCCAAGAAAACTCAGCTTTGGCATAATAGACCATACTTGGCCCAAAGTCTAATAATTACTTCGATTCTTTCTAATGGTAGCAGGTGCACCATCTTGTCATAATAAACCTTAAAGGGACATACAAATCATAAAATCATGAAATTACACTGATCTGATTGATCTATGACTGATGTATTTAAACTTGCATCCTGGTTTAGTTCAACAATATTCCAACACAATGGAGGCAAAATGTGCTCCAGGGAGTAGTAAAGGGCACTCCGGGGGGCATATAGCACTGTGGTTAGACAGTTAGGTTGCAAGCCATTCTTTTATCCTGTACATTCACTGGAACAGGCTATTTGTCTTAGTTTGACCAAATTCAAACATCAATTACTCCTGCTAAAATACATATTCCTTGGTTGAGTGAATATACCACAATGAAATACTAGCAAGTTGTAATGTACACCTCGAATTATGGTACCATACTCAACACAGAACCATACTATACTGGCACCATACCAAACATGGTGCCATAACCATACATGGAACCATATCAAACCATATAGTACTACATTCACAGTACCATACTGTACTGTTAGAATATATGATACTGTAAAAACAGTACCACTGAATATATGGTCCCATCGAAGTTCAACAGTGTAATGCCTAAGTCACATTTGCTCCAATCCATCGGCCGGCGCTCGATTGATTGAGTGTTTTGCTCAATATTGTATTCAATTTTGAACAAAATACTCAATCGGCTGGGCGCCGTAGTGAAAATCAGAGCAAATGTGACCAAGGCATTACTCATTATAAGATCTCTTACCTGATATACTGCCATCCCTGTCTCTGAACATGCTCCCCTGGCTGGTTGGGTTTGATAACAGATTTCCACTCCTCTGTAGCCTTTCTATAGTGGCCCGTAACTCCATCAATTCTGAGTCTTTCTGTTCAGCCGTTGACGTCAGCTGAGAGAGACGGTTGGTCATGTTGGAAAGACTCTGTTCGAATGCAGCAACGACATGAGCCTAGAAGTATACAAGATAACATGGTTAAAATATGTGATGATTTGAGTGAGGATGAATTGAGTATAATGGATGATTTGAGTGTAATGCTGTTGAGATGAGTCATCTGCCTATAAGAGAAAACATATAACATGAGCAAAAGTTAAACCATGAGTTTTTTTCAAAAACCCATCAATGTTTAACATATATCATAACAAGGACAATGCCATGGAATTTAAGATTCCAATTTATTTGGAATTGTAGGATATTTGGCATTAGTATGTTCAAAACAACAGTTGTATCCTCATTCCAGCAAATTCCTAAAATATTTTTTAAAATTTTATTTATTTATCTCATTTGGGCATCCTTCTTGCGGCAGTAAACAAGTATAGTAATGCTTAGATCTACACTATTCTTGAGTTTTATTTTATTCATTTTTGTTACATATAATATATATATTATACACTATGACCTTATAAGGTGCCAAATACCCATATATGTATGTTATTTTATATGTCCTTATTTGGTATTCTTACATTTCACACATTTTTACATGCAGTATTCAATGTCTTAAATAACTAGTGATTCTCTTTCCCACAAGTCTTAATTCCACAAGTAAAAAAACACTAATTTAATTGGTTGAGAAGTTGCAATAACCTCGCCTCTCTATCTGATATGTTGTCACCTTTATGCCAAAACACATTAGTAACTACGAGCTACATTACACACTAATTGCTACAAACAGGGACACTCTTGTCAAAAACACACCCAGCACTAGTCATAAACACCTACTATAAAGTCATAAACACCTAATAGACCTCCTAAATTTTGACCAATTTAGTAATTGTTTTTTTTCATGTCAACAAGGTACATGATGATGTGAAACATTTTATGACACTTTTTACCTAAAACAGATCATTTTAGTTCTGGTTGCCATGGTAACATTATCAGGTTGCTATAGCAACAGAGGGTGACACTTATATGACATAGAGTCCCCAGGAAGTTGATTTTGGCATAGTAAACTTTTAGATAACAAACTACAGAAAAACAATAAATTCTTAAATTTTGTTCATATCATTCCATTTCTGTCAACAATTTCAAAGGAAAATGCATTTTTCCATTTCTAAAAAATTATGCGGCTAAAGTGATTAATGCCTGATAATTCCATTTCTTGCTAATTCCACTCTTTTCGAACTTTTTCTCAAAACATAAAACATAACTACAATAAGGCTCAATTCCAAGACATTGTCAAATTATTTAACCTTTATGCCCTTGGGCTTCACATCCAACCCCAGATTGTTAACAAGAATTCCAGTATGAAATATTTCATGGGAAAACATTATAACTACATTACCAAATATTGCTAACATTTTTCTCAATTTAAAATTGATTAAGTCAACTTATAAAAAATCTAATATCTAAACACAATGCTGAAATATATATGTGAGGAATTTATATGTAATCAATAGGTAAAGAATGTGTATAAGTTACAGTGAAAAAAGTTGAGGAATGTATGTTATCAAAGACATATTTTATAAAACACATTAAAAGTGTGTATCCAATATTGATTAAAGGTTGATTTTTAGCTCCAATTTTTTTAAAGTTTATTCACCCAAGAAAATATAATAACATATAATTCAAATCACATTGTTAAAGACTTATTGACATATAGCTGTATAATATTTCAGATTTAAATGAAGTTTCGTGATTCACAAAAATCGACACTTTTCAAAATAATTTTCAAAAACGCCGCTTGTTAAAGAAAAAGCTACTTGAGCTCCTCCAAATTTCTGTCAACATTGAGTTTACACCATTTGAACCATAAAGTGTTTTGTAAACAAAATACCTAAACTCGTAACAATACAAAATACTCAAATGATATTGACAATTTCTCTGAGTGAAAGTCAACAATAGTTGGTAAGAATAACCCTCTTAACCCAAACATGGATATTTGGGTGGGTATAATGCACTTAATTGACCCCAGATCCACCCACACACTATTCTAAAGAAAAGACGTAATACTAACTCTCTGTTCAACCATGCAATGGTGTAGCTGTAAATTGAAGTTACTGCATCAAGGTGATGGATAAAACATGCAGATTATTTCATCTTCCCAATTAAATTCTAAGATTCCTCATCATTATATTTGTGGGTTAGAATTCATGTATATATTTTGGAGCGAATAGGATATATCACATGAAAATATAAAAAAATTGATCAATTTTTTTCTGTTGACAATTCAGACGCATGACTCATTGCAGAATGGACCCTTGTGAATGAGAATGTTTCACAAATCAATCGAAGCAGAAAATGTACTTTGAAAATTGCAAAAAAACACAACTACGGTATCATTAAAGCTCCTTCAATTAGGTCATTCAGCCTTTGATATGAAAATCACAACTTTCTCTTCTTCTTTAGAATAAAAGTTTGAATTTTTTAAACTTAATGTATTCACAACTTTGGCCCCTGGAATTTGTTATGTGTATAATAACTGGAATTAAAAAGATAAATTATGAATGTTTTGAATTTGAATCACATTAACGAGCAGATATTTCAGTTGTTTTGACAGATCGCTTAAACTACTGCATTTTTAATATATATTTCATAATATAACTATTCTGTACAATTTAAAAAATTGTATTTGCATTGAAATGGTGTTTTTTAAACATGAGAACAAAGAGAGATTCCGTTAGAATATTATCTTTAGAATTTAATCCCCTGACATACTAAAATATCTTAAATTTCTTGTCATGAAAAATGTTGACATGAAAAATCAAGTGTCACCAAAAACTGAAATTCAGCAACCATTGGAATATAAAAAATAAACAAACAAAAATATAAATTCTTTCAATTCATCAACAAGCAAAAGTATTCATTATGATCACGCATACTACACCTGCTATTCATTTCTATACAAAATCTGGCCATTCAAATCAAAACATTACTCAAATTGTCAAAGTTCAGTCCAGTTAATGCTAAAATATGCATATCGGGTGAGGGTTTGATTGTTTTTAGTGACCATTTAACTAGTAATTAATGCGAAGTGCAACGAGGCTTCACTCAAAAAAACGTGTCACATTTAAGAAAAATTTCCATACATTCTGTCAGTTTTGATTTCAATGAATGAGAAATTGTGAATTCTATTTACATGCGATATATGAGAGTTCAAATGGAGGCTAGGTGGCGAAGATGAAAATATACATCGTGTGATGCTCAAAGTCTATCTCATCTGATTGAAAATTAAAATTCCTAAAACCGATTTCAAAAGTCAAAAAGAAAATATGAACTAAAACTGACAAAGGTACAATTAAAAAGATGTCCTAATAAGGAGTTGACGTCATGATGACGTGATGATCTCATTTCACTTGACATCATATCAATGTCCCCATAAAAACAGTATGAATAAAATTCAAGATTTTAATCAAATAGAAAACCTGGATGAGGAAACTGGGTTACCGAGGAAACCACAATCTGTTGTGTGGTTGCCTTAGTGAGAGTGCCCATTTTTATTTACGATTCTTTTGTGATGAGCAGACAATGAGAAATTAAAGAAGTTTAGTAAATCAAACCACATAACATACAGGTACAGAATATGTATTGGTGCATTGGGTCACGTTCACCTCCCTTGTTTAGAAAATTAATGAGGTACAATACTCCCACTATCTCTTTAAGGAGAAAGCACTCTCTAGCTCTTAAAATTATGATTAATCCATGTTTTAAATTAATAGTATTGAACCATTGAGACTATACAATACGTTGACCCAGTCTAATCAGCTTCACAATAGCTCCAAACCTCGGTGAGAAATAAAACACAACCCTAACCAGTGTTTATCATTGACAGAGCAAGTGGGAGGGGCTCAGGAAAAGCCTTTAACACAAATAGCCTGTTCTGCTATTTTAAAGCAGTCAATTAGAGGTGACAAAATGCTCTGATTCATTCATCCATCACCTTGGCACATACCAGAACTAACAGATTTAGAAACAACCACATCTTGACATGGACCAGGACAACCACAATCTATGTTGGTGTGAACTAGGTATAAACCACAATTACACAGTACACTGTACTTGTTTCATATACAGTAAAACATCTAAATGGGGACACCTCTCAATACGAACACCTGCAAATGTGAACACTTCTTAATGTACACATAATGAAGATATTTCTAAATGTGAACACCTTTTAATGTGAACACCTCTTAATGAGAACATAATAGGAATAGACACCTTCAAATATGAACACTTTTGGTGTCCATTGAACTCCCATGTTATTCTTTTCTATGTGAACACTTCTAAATATAAACACCTCTCAATATAAACACCCTTCAATATGAACACTTTTAGCTGATCCAAGTAGAGTTTACTTCATCTGTTTTACTGTATGGCTAATGGTTTCCTTGGTGATTTATTATTGGTATGAAACCTTGAAACCACAGACAGCAAATGACAGCTCAGCCTTTCCATGAAAACTCACAAGGAAATATATTCAATTCTTTTGTTGGATTATCTCCTCTTTTGGAGATTTACAAACCGCCTATTTCCTAACATTTATTTTTAGCCAGATTAACAATTTTTTTTAGTTAAATCCCCAAGAATGGGCCTTTTTCTAATGCATAGGCAATGTTATGTTAAGTTTACATTTTGTGGTCTGTAAAAAAATGTATGCTCTGAACTTGTCTAATAGAGGCCTGTTTAGATAAACAGTTAAATGCCCTGAAGCCTTAAAACTGACAGAAATGGCTTGAAATTGCTTTTAAACATATATTTTACAGCTATGTTTATGTATACTCAGTAGTTTCATCTAAAAAACATCAAAATTGATTCTTTTTTAATATCTCAACATCTATAGTGTTTTAAATGGTTGGGCAGCTTATAAGGATAAATTACTTTTTTAAAATAAGAATTTTATATCTTTGAGGTAGGGCTGGGCTATCAAAATGCACTATTTCAAAGTTTATACCTGAATGCCGTTACCTTACAAAGCTTACAAAATAAACTTTTTTTTATATTTCAATTCTCAAGTC